CTTGAAGACTATTGTTAATTTATTTTTATTGGTTACCTCCCCTGTGTGTTGCCATCACTCACCAACGTATTGTTTCCCACTGACAAATATTGACAAGACCACCAAGAGGGTCACGGTGTAGATGTGGTTCAGCCTGTCCACAGCATCATCGTCGTTGGATGACTGCAGCCGCTGGTAGCGGGCAAACCCTCCAATGATGTAGTCTAGGCTGTAGACAGAGGGGGTGGGGACGGGGACATGTTAGTTCAGTCTACACTGGCTACTGGGATGGATGGATATTCTATAAAAAAGATGAGATTCGTGTGTTCTACAGTGGGGTGGAACTTTACAGTCTTAAACAGTACCCAAGCACATTTTATTTTCAAATCTTCAGGCAACTTTTAAATAGATTGGATATCTGACAAGAAAACCATTTTCATTGAAAAATGAAAGTTATTTCCCTTACATGAAAGATGCTACAAAGTAAAGATGGACAACAAAATCCATGGATAATTGAAACCATGGATTGGATTGTTGAAGTTCTGGCATCAACAGATGTTAAAACATCATGCATGGACACTAGATCATAAATAGACTAATGAAAGCTTAAAAAGTGCCTTTCACTGAGTTAAAATATGACATTATTTACTGCAAATATTACAACTTAAGTCAACAGAAGTTATGAGGGTAACTGTTTATGATAAGCAATTTAAAATGTAAAACTAAAAACTGAATGATCGTGTTACTAATAACCCTAGTAATATTGATGTATAATTTCTACACTAGCAAGTGCAATACATTACTACAATAGAAAGAACAGCTTTAAATAAAGTGTTCAATAAGTGTACTAATTAGCTTGTCAATTTAGTAGAACATTACTTTGTTACTGAGATGATTATCATCTAATTAAATGTTTGTTTGATTAAGGCAGAATTAAATTTTTTATTTATTTATTTAGAAAAATGTAACATTACAATTAAAATATTTTCAAATTATTTACAAATATATAAGTTATTTTTAATGTGTTACAGTATGATATAAAAAACAAAAATGGAAATACAAAATGCTCAACAAAAATGGAAGAAATTAACAATAGACAGAAGAAAGAAGTTTTTGATTTTTTAAAATTATTCCTTAATTAAACCATAGCCAATGAAAAAACTAAGGATTACGCTAAAATGATTTTGTGAGACTTAATCAATGCAATGGTAAATGACTAAATAGATGAACTTATGCAATTGTTAAGGCCAGTATGGATAAACTTATGCAATGGTTAAGGCCAATATGGATGTATGTGATAGATGGGAGAGAACTGCTTGAAATACTTACACCTCACCACACTAGGGTGACAGAGTTGAGTCCATCAGAAACACATATGTAGGTCACTGGTCTAAACTCCTGACATGCTACTGTTTGATGGGATCAGTTGGTTTACTTGATCCAGGTCTTTCAAAAGACTGAAACTTGAATGTATGGCTTCCCTGCTTGATGAGCTACATATATTGTTTCATTCCATTTCAGTTCAAATATTTTAAAGTCAAATGATGTTTGGTGTAAGTCAACTGCAAGCGATGTGGTTAAAACTTGACATATACATTTGGAAGCAACTTTGTTTTTGTACTCAAGTGCTTTCATCTACTTAAAGCAATCAGCATGGAGAATGCTAGTTGTACTTTTTGTATTTTTTTATTTTTTCATTTTTTCAACAAGTATGTTATTTAACTTTATCTTTCAGATTATTTTTAATAACTTGCACAAATTTATTGGTTTATGATAAACTGCAAGTATGTTATTTAACTTTATCTTTTAGATTATTTTTAATAACGTACAAAAATTTGTTTGTTCACGATAAACTGCATTTATTGCGTTATGGCTGCTTTAAAAAGCACGTAAGATTGTCATGTCTAGACATCATAGAATAGCTGTCTAAAGTTGCATTTGTCTCAAGACAATCTTCACTGTATAGCAATGAAAATAAATATTATTTTTGTTTTAATCCAGGGGTCTCCAAACTTTTCAGTCAGAGGGCCGCATTAACTATCAAATTTCAGTTCGGGGGCCAGTTTCTTCCGGGCATGTCTTTGATTTTTCTGGGCAAAGTTCCTCAGCCATCACCAACAAACGTTTTTTCCGTGGACAAAAAGATCTCCGCGGGCCGGATGAGAGGACCTCGCGGGCCGGATGCGGCCCGCGGGCCGTAGTTTGGAGACCCCTGTTTTAGTCAATGGAGTCTGCACTGACAAATCAATAGTTTTTTTAAACATAAAACATTTGAGAAGAAAGTTAGCTCTTTTCTTTAATAAAAAGCTTTTGTTTAGTCCAACAGAAAAACTATGTTCAACTTTATCAGCTTACAACAAAAAATAAACCTGAGGATGATTCAATAAATTGAATGTTTATTACACATGCATTACAGTAACAATACAAGGACCATATAATAATCAGTGGGATAAATCACTTCATAGCTAAGTAATGTAATGCTTTCAACAAACAATAAAGTTCTGTTTTCTACACGTATAGTTAAATAATACTATAATAATGCTTTCAACAAATGGTAAACTGGTATTTTATACACAAATAACAAAGTAATGCTACAATATTTCAACAAACAAAAAAAGTTGTATTTCCTACACAAATAGCCCAGTAATACATTAATGCTTTTAAAAAATGATAATGTATATGTGCCATAATTTTTACAAATTTATAAAGTATAAAAAAGTGCACTTCAAATTTATTAAGACAAGATTTTCTTACTGCAAACTATAATTATTTGCATAGATTATGTTCAACACACAACTATTTGCATAGTTTATGTTCAACACACAACTATTTGCATAGTTTACTGTAATCAGACAACTATTTGCATAGTTTATGTTCAACACACAACTATTTGCATAGTTTACTGTAATCAGACAACTATTTGCATAGATTCAATAAATGTCTAATCTAAACAAGAATTTTGACAAGTTTACTTTCAAGAGATAATCAAATGTGACCTGAGTTTGAATCAAGCAGCAGTTATTTCTCCTGTTATCTAAGAATCAACAAGAGAAGTACATTTGTCAATAACATTCATCCATCCTTTCTTTGTTTTCAGATTCTAGCATAAACAAGAGAAGTACATTTTTCAATAACATCCAGCCATTCATCCTTTCTTTGTTTACAAATTCTAGCATAACAAACAAGAAACAAACATGTTAGTAAGTCACTATCACTGATAAAATGAAAGAAAGACTCTGATACATAACTCTTTATATATGATTAGTATTTGAATATAACTGTGATTTGTATCTGATTCACAGAGCTCAATGTACTTGTGGGCTTTACACAATGGTTGACATGCTAGTAGATCACAAGTAGAGCTTGTGGTTTGGTTGCTCACTGACAACATGCGTGACATTACAGAAACAATATGGCACAACGCCACAATCATTCAGTACTCACACACAACATGCGTGACATTACAGATACAATATGGCACAACGCCACAATCATTCAGTACTCACACACAACATGCGTGACATTACAGATACAATATGGCACAACGCCACAATCATTCAGTACTCACTCACAACATGCGTGACATTACAGATACAATATGGCACACAGAGCCGGCGTTAGGGGTACGCGGGGCCTATGGCCACCATCCGCGCGGGGCCTTATATTTTTTTCATTGGTGTATAATTAAAACATGTACAGTGAGGCGTTTTTTTTTCTTCTTCTCAACGCGAATTAATATTTATAACGATATATATGGTGTTTTTAAGCTGCTTATCAATGTCGTTTTAACATTAAGACACTGATTAACAAATAATGTGTTAATACTTAGAAGTGCTTTTGAAACGTTGCTTGTTTCTGTTAAGGCTTTTTGTTTGAAAAGTAAAAAATAAAACAGATATAAGTTTGAGACACGCATTAAAGAGACGATGAACGTCAGCTTCAAACCTGATTTTTTTTTTACATTTATGTTTATTTATGAAAATCTTACCAGTACGTTCACAAACGATGATCTACTTTTCTTGCCTTTCGTGAGGAAAATTCCATGATTATATCATCATAGTCCAAACTGGAGGCTATGTCTTTTTCTATTTTTCTATCCTCGCTTTTGATGCACCTGATTCATACTTGCGAAATCTATCTCTGTCTCTTGTAGCCATGGTGTAGAGGAAAAATGGTGAAATCACTTTGAAGCAACGTTAAATCGGTCCACAGTGGCGGGTGATAGTATCGATATTTTCTCAATTTATCGAGTGTTAACAGTGGCATTCAAAGTGTGTGGATGCCGGGGAAAATAGCAAAACATTGATAGATTTCGGAATAAGCTCGAATCGTGAAAAACACTGTTTACGGCTATAGATATCCAAATGAAATGACTCTCAAATGTAATCACGGACGCTCAGTAAGGTGGAACACTGGGGGGGGGGGGGGTGACAGTTGGTGGGGTGAGGTAAAGGATAACAGTACATTTAAATCTATGGGATGCCAAACCCTAAAAAAAATCAGTTCGGGTACTACGTTACTGGATCTCTGACCGCAGCCATTCAAGAGAAGGTGCGTGTTTATAGAGCGTCCGCGTATTACATTACAGATTAAGACCGCGTTCTCACAAGAGAAGGTCCGTGTCTATAATTAGAAAGTGAACTATGTGACAGCCAGCTTCATGTTATTTATGAGTTTCGCGATGGTATGCTCGGACTGCCGGTAATTTAGACGTTTTAGAAATCAGGAGAACTTAACCATAAAACAGTCTCGGCCCGATGTATCAAACAGTATAGACTTTATAATTTGTTTAGTGTGCCGACACTATTTTAAAACAAGAATCACTATGGCCTTAATTATTATACTGAATATCCCTACACAGAGGCGTAGCGAGGGGAGGGGGTGCGGACCGCACCGGGTGACACCATTTAGGGGGGTGACACCAAGACAAAAAATAGCAAAATATACAGAGAAAAACTTGAGGGGGGTGCAAATCGAAAGTTTGAGGGGGGGGGGGGTGAAAATCGAAAGTTTGAGGGGGGGGGTGAAAATCGAAAACTCGAGCGGGGTGCAAATCGAAAGTTTGAGGAGGGGGGTGCAAATTGAAAGTTAGAGGGGGGGGGGGTGTGCAAATCGAAAATTTGAAAGTTTTTCCCGGGAAGGGGCATGTCCCCATCCGCTCCCCCCCCCTCCTCCTCTGCAAGCCATTATCAGGTCACTGACTGTTTACTACAGGCACCCCCGCCTGCTCACTAAAAAAAACGTCTTCAACGGTCCACAAACAATAGGGTATCTGTTTACGTTTTTCCCGATTTTACCTCCAATGTCAGGTCGGGGGCTAATTCGCGACCGCCATATCCAGTCACCTCAGGACAATAGCGAGTCGACCGTGTCAGCGATGTGTGACCCTAATGTATTTTTTTAGAATAACGGTCTGTCCCAGTCCATGTAGAGGATAACTCACTAACATCAGCCGTGGCCTCAGTTTTAACATCCAACCATTTCGGCCATTTAGTTGTTTTTTTTTAAATTTAATTCAGCAAAGATTATTTAAGTTTACAAACTAATTCAGGCAACAATGGCGTTGCTGAAGCGCGGGGCCCCTTCAAGCGCGGGGCCTGGGGCGACCGCCCCGTTTGCCACCCCCTAACGCCGGCTCTGATGGCACAACACAATCATTCAGTGCTCACTGACAACACTTAATTAGGCATGACATTACAGAAACAATGAACAAAACCTTCACAGGATCACATAAGAACCCCATTACATGAATACTTAGTTTACAAACATGTATAGTGTAAAACTATGTATTTAACTAGTATAAAAAGGCACATAACTGGCTAGCAATTGTCGAGTATGTACATCACTACTTAATGACATGAAAAAGTTTATAAAACACCCCAATAAATAATTGACAAGAAAGACACTGATCAACATCTCAACCGCTGAGGCAGCTACAGCGGCACTCATTAAATATAATCTAGGTACGGTCAGTCTATCACCCATTATGGGGAGACACTGAAATTATTTTCCCAATAAATCTGGAATGATATTTGATTTAGTGTACATCAACTCAGCACAAACTACATTCAAATGTTTGTGATGTCAATTTTTATTTAATTTGTAATTCTGAACTCCATCTAAACCCTGTCTTTCTGTGCGTTAAAAACTTTATTTCTTCATGTCTGGTTCTGAGGTGTACATATAGCCTCCCTCCTCATCATTGGTCCTGCTAGCCTTGATGGCCGGCTTGTCCTTGAACCTGTTGAACATCTTGAGGATCAAGTCCCCTATCAGGATGTCACTCGTGTTCCTGGCAATCAGACGCAGGATAAAGACGCCGTCGTCACGCAGATATTCTTCAGCAAATCTGCGGGCCAACTTCTTGTCTTCTGTGGTCCTGACTTGGTCAAGGATGGACAGATACTTCTTGATGTAGGCGGCCTGGCTGTTCTTGACCAAGGCCCGCCAGATCCAGAACAGGAAGTTGCCAGATGTGCAGACGGCCACAAAGACAAACCAGAACCAGAGGAAGATGAAGATTTTCTCGTTGAACAGGTTGATGGGCAGGACACACTGCACCGTGTACGTCTGGATGTTGGCCAGCTGGCGGATCTCAAAGTCGCACATCGTCACCTTGGGGAACCGCGCAGAGTCGGTCCACGTCCGGTCAGTGGTCAAACCTTCCAGAACCTCGAACCCGTAGACGTGGTACCAGTCGCCCATGAAAGCGTTGAGCAAGAAAAACTGAACGATGACGTTGGTGACGTAGAGAAGTTTGACGAAGATGTAGAGGCCAGTGAGGAAAGTGCCGTCTCGCTTGGCGCAGCACAGGCAGAAGTAGCGGTAGAACTTCTGGCGCATGCGCACCATGATGTTGTAGCGGTACTGCTTGTGGGTGTTGAGCCACCTGTCCAGGTAGGAAGTGATGTGGTTGAGCGTGTCGTCACGTTTCTTCAGGTCGCCGTACTGCGTGTCGGCTGTCATGGTGACGATCTTGTCCATGTTGATGCCGGAAGCGCCGTTGAGCATCCTCCAGATCAGGGCGGGGAACTTGAAGAGGAAGGCCATGAAGAGCAGGATGACCGGCACCCACTGGTAGTAGGTCAGCTCCTCCTGGCTCCTCTCACCCTTCACCGTCGGGATGGGTGTGTCGATGGGGATGTAGTACGTGTTCTTGACCCAGCAGTAGGATTTGGTGTACGCCCTAAAGGCGTCCGTGAAATGTGCCGGCACCCAGCACTCGATGGGGTTGCCGGCATACTGACCACCGGTGACGAAGACAGCGAAGATGGCCAGCAGGATGACCGTGTAGAGATGGTTCAGTCTGTCCACCCAGTCGTCATCATTGCTGGACACCAACTTGTTGTAGGATGCCCAGCTGCCTAAAATTGTCGCCGCGTAACTACAAGAGAAAAAAGAAAAGTTTCAGCCACTCGTGTGGTCAGGCCAACCCTGCTGAGGTTTTAACAGCTTGACCTTTCATACCTGTAGACACCGGCATATTCACGGTACTGGCCTAATGTTTCTTTCAGGCATCTCTCCGTGGAGGGGAGGCACTACTCCCCGGAGAACGTCAATCCTTCCCACCCTTTCCATATAGATAATATTATACTTTAACCGGTCCCCCCCCCCCCCACAGCCCCGGAATTTTCACGCCGAAGAAAAATGTCTTAATCAACCCTGATTGTCTACAACAGCGTCTACTAAGACACTAATGTTCTAGAACCGAGCAGAACAATGGTAGGTCGTGGTGAAATGGATTAGTCGTGCTGTGGGGCTCCACGGGTCTGTCATTTTAACACATCTAGTGGCTAGACGTCTTTTGGGTGTGCTCTGTTTTATGTTGATACCACGTTATGATGGGGGGGGGGGGGGTCTGTCACTTTAACACGTCTAGTAGCTAGACGTCTTTTAAGTGTGCTCTGTTTTATGATGATACCACGTTATGTGGGGGGGGGGGGGGTCTGTCACTTTAACACGTCTAGTAGCTAGACGTCTTTTAAGTGTGCTCTGTTTTATGTTGATACCACGTTATGATGGGGGGGGGGGGTCTGTCACTTTAACACGTCTAGTAGCTAGATGTCTTTTAAGTGTGCTCTGTTTTATGATGATACCACGTTATGTGGGGGGGGGGGGGGGTCTGTCACTTTAACACGTCTAGTAGCTAGATGTCTTTTAAGTGTGCTCTGTTTTATGATGATATCACGTTAAGATGGGGGGGGGTCTGTCACTTTAACACGTCTAGTAGCTAGACGTCTTTTAAGTGTGCTCTGTTTTATGATGATACCACGTTAAGATGGGGGGGGGGTCTGTCACTTTAACACGTCTAGTAGCTAGACGTCTTTTGGGTGTGCTCTGTTTAATGATGATACCACGTTAAGATGTGGGGGGGGGGGGGTCTGTCACTTTAACACGTCTAGTAGCTAGACGTCTTTTGGGTGTGCTCTGTTTTATGATGATACCACGTTAAGATGGGGTGGGGGGGGGGGTGGTAAACATTTAGTGTCCATTGTAGAGGTTGTGTAACGATAGTGTACACAGAAACCCTAGCAATACAAGCTAAGGACGTGCCTGTGTTAGTACAAGCCGCTTTATAACTGAACTTAAGGTGACAAGATAATCGGTTTCAATTATAAGGTAATCAATACAGCACACCTGTTGGCTTTTATTTGATAACATAGACGTCACTGGGGGGGGGGGGGTATTTGAAGGACGATGTGGGTTAGTGAGGGACAAGGTGAGGTGAATGTTGTCAGAATAACATAAAGATGGAGGCTTCATTTCATAAGCTAGGTTTGAATGTCGTCAGAATAACATTAAGATGGAGGCTTCATTTCATAAGCTAGGTTTGAATGTCGTCAGAATAACATAATGATGGAGGCTTCATTTCATAAGCTAGGTTTCAAGAAGAGAAAGGATGATACCAACATTGTTGTTAAAGCCTCTAACGTTTCATTGTCATGTGTCTTTTTCAGAAACACCTAAACAAACATGACAAATCTTTTAAATTAAACAGTAAGAAGTCACCAAAACTAACGGTTCAGAAACACCCAAAGCAGTCATAAGTCTTCGATATAAAGAGAGACAAGTCTTCGATATAAAGAGAGACAAGTCTTCGATATAAACAGAGACAAATCTTCGATATAAAGAGAGACTAATCTTCGATATAAAGCGACAAATCTTCGATATAAACAGAGACAAATCTTCGATATAAAGAGAGACAAGTCTTCGATATAAACAGAGACAAATCTTCGATATAAAGAGAGACAAGTCTTCGCTATAAACAGAGACAAATCTTGCATTCAGACAAGAAACTAAGACAAAACCAATTTGAAAGGTGACGTATTGAAACATGCAAAACAAAACTGTAAGGTGACCTATTGAAACAGACAAAACAAAACTGTAAGGTGACCTATTGAAACAGACAAAACAAAACTGTAAGGTGACCTATTGAAACAGACAAAACAAAACTGTAAGGTGACCTATTGAAACAGACAAAACAAAACTGTAAGGTGACCTATTGAAACAGACAAAACAAAACTGTAAGGTGACCTATTGAAACAGACAAAATTGTAAGGTGACCTATTGAAACAGACAAGACAAAACTGTAAGGTGACCTATTGAAACAGACAAAACAAAACTGTAAGGTGACCTATTGAAACAGACAAAACAAAACTGTAAGGTGACCTATTGAAACAGACAAAATTGTAAGGTGACCTATTGAAACAGACAAAATTGTAAGGTGACCTATTGAAACAGGCAGCAAATGAATGTCAGTTAAGTGACGATGGAAGTTTGAAAGTCAAATTAAACATAATCGAATGATAAATCAATTCTTCTAGGCTATCTATATCAGCGAGGGTGTTGATAGTAAAAATTGTATATCGATCTTATCGGTGACGTCCTTTGTATGGCCACCATAGGACAAGTCTGTGTATGGCCACCATAGGACAAGTCTGTGCAGAGCTTCGTGTTATCTGTAGGTAGAGATAGGTTGGTGGCTACAGATGTCGGTACATCACACACATCTACACGGTTAGATAGGGTTCTAATACAGACTGATAAATGATGTGTTTACAAACAGGTACAAAGGTTGTATACAAACAGGTACAAAGGTTGTATACAAACAGGTACAAAGGTTGTATACAAACAGGTACAAAGGTTGTATACAAACAGGTGGAAATGGTGTATACAAGCAGGTACAAAGTTTGTATACAAACAGATAGAAATGTTGTATACAAACAGGTACAAAGGTTGTATACAAAAAGGTACAAAGGTTGTGTACAAACGGGTACAAAGGTTGTATACAAACAAGTGGAAATGTGTACAAACAAAAAGGTTGAATACACACAGGTAGTAGTTGTGTACAAACAGGAAGTGGTTATATCTAAACAGGTAGAAAGGATGCATACAAACAAGTACAAAAGTTGTACATAAACAGGTAGAAAGGTTGTACACAAACATTTAGATCTAAAAAAGTGTACAAACAGGTAGATGTAAAAAGGTTGTGTACAAACAGGTAGATGGAAAAAGGTTGTGTACAAACAGGTAGATGTAAAAAGGTTGTGTACAAACAGGTAGGCGTGGAACGGGTAAGATATCCCAGGTGTGGACACTGACACGAGTGACGTCACCCAAACCAGCCACGTGACCGGCCCCTAGAAAAAGTGTGGTATTTATGTAACATTCGAGATAAGCTGAGTGCAAGTCTCTTAATGCTCTCGTTAACCTTTGCCTCTAGTCAGCCGTCAATGTGATCTCAGGCCCGGGACTCGCGGGGAGCTTTGATACCCCGACATTTAATCCACGGGGGAGGGGGGCAGATTATAGAGCACTGACCCAACTTGGGGAATGTCACTGAATTAAGGGCTATCTTAATTACCTGGGGATTACAGAACTATGTCTTTGTATTGATCCTATCTAGGCTTCAGTTCACACATACAAGAAAAGTTTGCTTTTATTCTGACGGTTTAAAGGGATGGTCGTACCTCGATGGTAATACAAATAAGAGATCGTCGTGCCTCGACATACGAGAGCCTCGACATACGAGTGCCTCGACATACGAGAGCCTCGACATACATGTTTTAAAGATTCGAGCAGTTGAGCGGGCCATTTATTTTATTTGTTTTTGTCGTTTTGAGTTACGAGCAAAATTTGAGACAATAGGAACTGGATCTGAGATTTTCACAGTTCATGGAAGAGAAAAACCTAGGAAATAGTTGCAACTGATCGTGCATTACTGCTATTTATAACGACACTTCTCTAGCTCATTGGTTCAACACTGACAAAGGATGAAGAAACAAATGACCTTGACATGTTTAGTTTTAAACCGCATGCACGTGAAAGTGGGTAGAGTGTGGGGAAAAACGGCAAAGACACGTGAAGTAAAAAATAGTAACTAAAATTAAACGAAAGTAATAGTAAATTATCAAGTAGCATTTAAGTTCAACCGTGTTCATGGAATTTTATTTTTTTCCATTCAGTTTAGGGATAAAATGTAGCATTTAAATTATTAGGAGTAAGTCAATTAATGAGTCCGAAAGAGTTTAGCATTAACAGTGTAGTAAGTGAAAGAAGTAACGCCCCTCCACCCATCCCCTACACCCGACACATCCGCCAAGATATTCTGCAAGCTCTAGTCGGCTTATTTCCAAATATACACTTAATAAAGCCAGTTTATTTCTTTACATTCTCCGATATTGTGTTTTTATACAAAATATGTTATTTATAAATACAATTTTCAAATTTAAAACACGAAAAAAATATAGCTGGGGTAACATTTTAGTGGCGGGAACGGATTAATGATTAATGGCATCTCCTTTCATTTCAATGGTAAAAATTGCTTCGAGATGCGAACAATTTGACAGACGAGCTAAGTTACGGATCGAATTCAATTCGTATTTCGAGGTAACAGTGTATAAGTAGAGATGGTCGTAGTTCAATGTTGACGTCATCAGTTTGTTTTCATCAAGTCCAACACGCTTTAGGTCAAATATCTAATGTCTAGATGTGTTTATTGTCTAGCTGTGTCTATTGTCTCGCAGTATATTTAGTAACGCCTTTAGGAGCTGAATGTATAATATGGGCACTATTTGTCAGACAATGAATAAACCATCGAATACCACGGTGTATAATAATGTAGTGTACTTTGTTTACTGCAAACATACACTGATCCCATTATCTTGTGAGTTCATTAAACACGACCTGATCTAGAAATAGCCGATGTTTTCTTTTGTTCTTTATTTCCGCTCTTTGTGTCCGTGTCTTTAGCGAGTATCACAAAGGCGAGTTGTTGTAGTGGGGTGAGGCATGAGACAGCAAGTACCATCACGTGTGTTAGTCATATCTGTGTAGGGTCGTGTAGTCAACTCATGTCGACTGGGAACAATGACTGGGTAACAT